GAAATAACATATAACCTGTGTTGTAAGGATATTTTACAAACATAAATTTCACGTTGACATACTCCTAGATGCGAAACAACCTCTGTGGGTCACACAAATAGTTGTCCCGTGTGGAGATTGTGTCGCCTTGGCAACTGCGCCATAGAGTCATCACAATATACACAGTATCTAAGACTCCGGTTTTATCTGTCCGTCTGTCAACAGGCTGTATCTCATTAAGAGTGATAGTTGAAGAAGACGGTTGAAATTTTAACAAATTACGTATTGCCGCTATAACAACAAAAACTAAAAACAGAATAAAAAAATATTTAAGCGTCCCATACAACAGACATGATTTTTATGCCGTTTTTATAGATAATGGCACGAAACACTTCGTGCGCGAGTCCTACTCGCACTTGGTCGGTTTTTTTACATTATTATAAATCAAAAATTAATAAACCAAATATAAAGATATGCTTACTCATCCACAGTTTGTTGTTTTGCATTGGTGTATTGAACTAGTTTTGTTAGTATCATACGAGAAATCAATCTATTCGTATTTTTAATTTAGTTTCATTAGTGTAATGTTTATTCCTGGCGATGGAGGAAGTAATATCCTAGCATGGTGTACGGTATGTAGAACAAGGCCCGTTGTTAAAAGAGGTCTGTGTAAACTGTAATTTGATACAGAACAGATGGGCCATGAGGGGCGCCATGACAGCTACGCTCGACACTCCACCATATTGATACTTCCTGCTTTTTCACGCGTTAGGTTTTCAAAGTCAAATGCGCACTTAGGAGCCGTCATTCAGCACGTGATTGTTTCACCCCCTCCCCCTCCTACCTCTTGGTTGTACGTGGTGAGGTTTAAGACTAACCTAACTATGGGGGGGGCTCGCAGATAACCTTCTTGCGCGATTCCGAAGCGCACTTGACCGGTTTGTTTTCTTATTTTCAGGGTGTGGTGTCTAACCAGTGATGAATGATGAAGTGACTAATGAATGATCAGAATGAAGCGGTCATCGTGTCAAGTGAAAAATGAGTTCGTAGCTGTGACTCAATTTGCGACAAAGGAAATTCTTCACGACTGACATACCTATAGCTATAGAACTGAAATCGTCGAAGAAATTACTTTATACTGTATACAATCCGTTTTTTTACAATAAACGATAAACTAACATTCTTGATGATTTGAATTTTAGAGCTAATATCTATGGATAGTTTCAAAACGTCTAACACCTAACATTTTGAAGTTTGGAGTTATATTTTTTTGGCGCGTTTGGAAAAAATTATGAGGAGAAATTGACGAAATCCAAAAAGCGAAGCGACATAATGAAGTTGTTTGCGAACTTTGGAATATTAATTTTCTTTTCTTATGCTAAAAAAGTATAACTTCTTACGTGCTTATGTTTTATCCACAATGAATTAATTATTACCGAAAAAACGACAAGGCATTTAGTATTTAAAGTCCTTTAAATTATGAATTTTAAATTAAAAAAATATGAACGCCGTAAAACCCTTAATGTTAATTTAATTTGGATAACCGTCATGAAACGCTGTTAATGAAATAAAGACGAAAACATATATAGAAACGTCTTTAACTTCATGAACATATAGTTTAGAGGAAATTTTCAAGTTTATTTAGATTTCTTTTACATTTTATCTTAATTAATTAGTAATTCCAGTGCGGCGCGCACTAATATTTTGTGGTAATGTAATTGGTACTTAATACAATCTCATGTATAACTTCATGTCACTTTCTGGCTATATATATATATATATATATATATATATATATATAAATGTACTACCATTGCTTTGATTCCATTATTCTTTTTATAAGCATTATCTCTAATAGCTCAACGTAAGTGTCATTATCAGAGTTGTTGTTATATTAACTTATGTACCCACCGATGCGACGAAAGGCTATCTAATTTAACATTAAACGTGAGCGTGACTCAGAGCCCTAGTCGATTCACGGAACAATTTCGTATAATGCACTGTCTGTAACTCCAATTTTATGTTATCGTAAAAACATCGACCCACGAAACACGGTATTAACGACATGAAATAAACATTCACTAACTCACTCAACGTCAACATCTCATTAGAACACCATATTTATTAAATAAAAAAAAGAAACCCATATCAGAATATCAGCGTGAATTTCGTTGCGTTTAATGTCTATGGTAAAAAAAATATAAATAAGCCTTGAGTGATTTTATTTTAAAACCTTTCTGGACTGTATGTTTAGAATATGGTCATTCTTCAGCGCAAGAAAATTGTTTTGTAATTAAAAAATAATAAAGAAATTCCAGTTCTATTATTAATCCTAAAAATAAATAAAAAAATCTTATTAACTGAATAAAAATCATCGGTTTCAGATCGGTTAAAAATTTTTCGTTTAAAAATTCATCACGAGATTTAATTACATTAGATTAGACTGTGGGATGTATTTGTAAATATTTCAAGGGCAGCACCATTAAAATATTTACAAATACATCCCCCATATAACGTGATCGGATTTTAAAAAGCTTCTTTGATCATCAACTTGATTTCACAAAGCTAACAAGATAAAAGGCCGGTAACTTGAAAATTTTTCTTACGGCTTCCAGTAGATGACGATCTCTTATCAGCAGAAAGAGCCATTCAGCACTCTTTGCTAGTCTATCGCCCTCATGATATTTTCGAAAACAACTTCGGCACATTGTTCGACTTCCCGCGCTTTATGAAGATTAAATATCTAAAGAACTGAAATTCTGAACTAAAATTATTCAATTCTCTATAAGACTTTAAAAATGTACCCTGGTAATTTATAATAGTTAGTTTTAATCTCAACTCCATCCTAAGTTCTAAAATAACTAAAGGCAAGCTATATTTTGATACTGTAAAAAAAATCCTTGGTATAAGTATCGAATCAAGTGTGTCTTTTTGCATATTGAGGTAACTTGAGATAACCTTGTCAAATAATACTGACAAAAGCAAAAAGCAAATTCCCTCGAATACCAACAATCTATTGTATAACGCGGTAATAGTGATGTCCAACGTCATATTCTTGTATACTTTATCGATTTTACATATTTCAATATTTTGAAAGGGTTTTTATACTTATATTCTATGCGCTGAAAATGAGATTTAATAATTTATTGAAATGGACGAAAATTTTTCATCGCTGAGAGGATTTGAACCTGCGACCTCCGAAATGTTTGGCAATGACCTCAGGTCGTTCTAGTATTTGAATTAAAATTATAAAAAGTAAAAATGTGGTAGAGCCACGCAACAGTGTTCGCGATTGCACGAATTGGCAGGTCCTCTTGTATCTTGTATTAACTGATGTTTTTGCTTTCAGTCCCGAGACTATTAAAGCTTCATCTGACGCAGAACCGGTGGGCTAGCCAGAACCCGCGGGTTTGGGCCCTCCGCTGTGGGTAGGGCCGCGCATGTGCTCATGCGTGCGTTTAACTCGTTGGCAGGTCCGTTCGGTTTAGTCACGACCACGACCTCACAAAAGATCGGCGTGAAGCAGAAGTGTTACACTTCTGCGTTTCGTCTGGTGAGTGAGTTAGCCGGGGCCCACTTTTTTAAAAGGTGGCAACGCATCTGCAACCCCCCGGGTGTTGCAAATAAATGTCCAAGGACGGCGGTTATCGCTTAACATTAGGTGAAACGCCAGCTCGTTTGCCACTTTCTGACTAACAAAATTAAAACCGAGCGCCAGGGCACTGAGCTATTTAAACTGGTTTTATATTAACTATAGTATATTATCATGTAATTAATTCAATAAATTTTATATTTAATGGTAATAGATACTAACGTGATAGCTCATCAACCCGGGCGCTCGCCTTCAATATACTCGAGCAACCTGAGTTCGATCCCCGGTGCCGGCACCAATTAATTAGTCAATCTTAAATGCTGATTTATCACGTTCTCAACGTCGTCGGACGTCCATGAGCGGCGGTATTCACTTAACGTCACTTAACAACTTTTCACATAAAAAAAAATAAAGAAAAAATGTCAATCAACTAGTGCTTTTTGAAGAAACATCAATGTTTTGTAAGTTTAATGTATTCAATCATTTCATTATTTTAGATTGTTATTCGTCTTTCGCACGGACATTTAGTAATTAGCGGTCCTTGATTAAATTTTGGGCTATATAAAGTCGCGCGCACTTCCTTGATTCCTTCATAGGAAGTCCTTACGACGTCCACACTGTGAATCATCCGTTTGGGCTACCAGTTTTTACCATTACCTTTTCTACCAACCTAAGATTAGTTTCTTTATTGTAATAAAATAATTATACTGATAAATAATATGTTTTAGGTTATGTAACAATTGTTTAGGTTTCCGTACCCAAAAGGTAAAACCCCTTTGCACCCTATTACTAAGATTTTGCTGTTTGTCTATCTGTTTGTTTGACTGTCACCAGGCTGTATCTCTTGAGCCGTGATAGTTGGACAGTGGAAATTTTCACTGTAATGTATTTCTGTTGTCGCTGTAACAACAAATATTAAAAAAAACAAATTAAAAAATGTTTAAGTGGGCTCCCGTACAGCAGACATGATTATTTTGCCATTTTCATAGATAATGGTACGGAAATCTTCGAGACCAACTCGCACTTAGCCGGTTTTTACAGTCATCGTCATACAAACACAGTAGAATTGTGTTATAATTAAGTGAAAAACCATGCCTTAAATACGTAACTCAATATTAAAATGTAAATTATTTACAAAAAGCATTCAACCAATTTGTAAGCTTCACTTTGAAAAACCTACTTATTCGCGTATGATTTTTCAAACTGGCCACATTCGCACCCCATACGGCAGTCGGTATCATTCGTTCCCGTTCGGCGCGAGCGTTCCTTTTTCATTTCGCTCTTCGCTCGGAGCTCGTACTCGATTATCGCTCGTGCCGTCGGCTCAGTAGGTTGGCTGCGCGGTCGCGGTACAAACGCCAGTTAAGCTCCCAGTATTAAATCGAAGTATATTTTTCTTAGTAAATAAGTATACAAATAAAACACAGACATGAGGGAAATAGTGCACCTCCAGGCCGGACAATGCGGTAACCAGATCGGCGCAAAAGTAAGTATTATTATGCTTTAGTTATTCGCGATTCGCATTTGCAATATTCGCCGATGCGGTTAGTTCAAAAACTATTCATTGCTCTTATTATTAACGGTTATCGTGTTAACTTTATGGTCTCGGTTGTCCGATTTCCGATTTTTTTATTGTACTTCGAGAAGTTAATTGTATGTTGTTTACGCTATTGCAACTTTTATTTGACTTGAATTGAATAGATTATTTAAAGTTTCTTATGGGATTTTAGAATCCAGTAGTTGTAGTATTTTACTTGATATTATAACTTCAGTAGTTTAGTGTGCATTACGTAGTACTTTCATAAAAAATATTTCTACACCTGGCAAGTAATATGGGTAGTGTTATGGTTTTTACTTTCTATAATAATATAGCGGTTTATTGTATTTAATACTATGGTAATATTTTCATAGTTCGCAATAAGTATTTACTAATACTAGTAGGATATTTGAAGATCTTTACCAGTAATTAAAAGCATTATGATTCACAGGTAATTTGAATGCATTTTTGATTTTAGTTTTCAATAAACGTGCGATCAACCTTGCACTATCCAAGGAAGAAAATAAATGTTTATCTTATCCTGTTATCTAATGTTATGAGTTTGATGTCAAGGAACTTTCTTATTAATTTCTACAATTTCCTTGTCACTTTTCCGGGTTTATTGCGGCTCGGGCAAATTTAGAGCAAAACCGCTCTAAATAAGCAGCAAAATTTCGTCCGTACGTTTTTAAAGAGAGCAAAACTAATTTTTCAACCGACTTAGAAAAAGGAGGAGGTTTTCAATTCGACTGTTTTTTTTTTTATGTTTTTCACCTCATTTTTTACATATTTTTTTAGAACTTTCGACTAAGTGAACCGATTTTGATGATTCTTTTTTTATTCAAATATTAATTTCATTGGCATTGGATCTTGGTCTCCGGAGATGCTTCGGGAACTCCTGAAAATAAATTATAAAATGAATACAGAGCCGGGATATTTGAAGTCGGTTTTGTTTTTCGTTAGTAATAAAAAAATGGACTTCCCGCTCACGAAACGGTGAGAGTCGCACGCCGGCTTGACAGTTTATTTTTATTAGAGCAACGACGATATGCTTTCTAACAGCGATATCGCGTCGGCGTCGTTTAACGCTCGTTAAAGCAATAAAACCGTGTAAGTGTAACTGTCCCGCGCGGTGCACCGGCAAAGCTTCCAAATTCAAATTTCGCGGCGCAATTAAAGCCGAAGCTCGAATGAATTTTATTATCTGTTAAATTTGCTTATTAGCGTATTTAAAAAATAGCATTTAGTTTCGTATTCGTTATATTTAAAAAAAAAAAAACAAGTTAATGTTAACAAAGATTCGTTTAAATAAATTACATGGATGTACCACAAATGCTAAATGTAATTAAAACTGTTTTCCATTATTAAGCAATAGTTACTATTTATTCTATTTTATGTGTTCGAAACGTCTGCAATCTAATATAAAATTTAACAAAACAAAACCGTAAAATAATTTTATTAAATGTTTATATTAAAAATACGGTTTGCATACGCCGACCCGAATGGCGTTGTGGGTAATGTACCTGCCTCCTGCGCTAGAGGGTGTGGGTTCGATCCCCACTACTGGAAAATATTGTGTGATGAACATGGTGTTTTTCTAGTGTCTGGGTGTTTATATATGTATAATATGTATTTATTTACAAAAGAAAAGTATTGTTTAAGTATATTTATCAGTTTTCTAGTACCCATAGTACAAGCTTTGCTTAGTTTGGGACTGGAAAATGTTGTGTAAAAAAGTGTGTCCTAAAATATTTATTTATTTTATTTATTTATATATGCTAATTATAAAGTTTCATATAAATTCGCAGGTGTGAGTGCCAGGTTCCTTTGCACATTAAATCGCATTAATTTATACTGAGCAAACTTAAAAAAAGTATACTATAACCGTAGCTTTTAACTTCTACAATTTATTATGTATACGGAAAACTATGTTGATTCGAGTGAATAAGGTTTTACGCTTATGTTAATCAGCATCATTAAGGAATAAAAACGTTCCCAGCTGGCATATCCCAGGTCAAGAACCTTAGGTATCTCATTCACAGTTCCAGCAACATCTGAACAACCGGACTTTTTATCTGTCACATTATGACTGCCGACTACATTTTTCTATTATATTATTTTTGCGTGCGATCATGTAGTAGATAAAGCCAATCATGACATCTACAATATGAGACACTTAATTCACGAAAGCGATTATTCATTTTAATATAAATCGCCTATCAGAGATCGATGTTTTAAATTAACTATAAACAAGATTAAAAAACTGTCTGTTATTGAAGAGTTTTGTTTGAAAAGGTCGCAACTATTATATACACAATAAAGGACGCCTCTAATAGAAGAGTGGTTGATCGTCTGAAATTAATGGGGTTCTATTCCCGAAGGTATGAAAAAACGAAAGGATTTTTTAGATGAAGTATTTATAATTTGCGTTTTTAGGTTTTGGTCTCGGAAATTACATTCTCATGTTATTTTTCTTTATTATTTTAATTAATTTATCTTTTTTATGATAAAATAACCCTGTGTTATGGTGGCGTTTTAAAAACATATTAAACAAAAATAAAAATGAGCCGTCACGGGACGCCTGCCAGATGTGAAACATCGACATTATTTTGTAAAAGTAATATGCAGAAAAGAACAGATTGTGATAGGAATACTAAATATGTCATAATGATAAAATAAAATGTTACGATTTTTTTTCCAGATAACGATGACTATTTATTGGATAAACATTTATTTTCATTAAATACAAAAATTTACGAATTTATTCCAAATCGTGACTACTTAATTCGTTTAATCAGTGACTTCGGTAATAGTTATATTCGATGTTGCCTCTGAGGACGGTATTACTGTGATATGGCGACGCGTCGCCACGCCGCCACGGTTTTACGTGCGGCTATAGATGTTTCACATCAAAAAGTACAAATATAGTAATTACTATATTTGTACTTGTTTAATATGTTTTTAAAACGTCAACTGACTCTTGAATTATCGCACAGTATGTTATCATTGACCAGTGTAACTGAATCACACACTATCTCAATCTACTCTGCTCTTTCATTTAAACAAGTTGTCAATAGATGGCATTGTCATACATTCTTTACTATGGCATTGACTAAAGAGAACATTGACTTTATTCTACTTGTCTATTTTGATACATATGTAGTGCGTGGCCTAAAAGTCCTGGATACCATAAAATTAAAAAATAATGGTTGGCAGAGATAACGCTCTACGAAACCAAAACTATTCGATAGTATTTTCCATAGATCGATAGGCAATATTTATCGCAGAGTAGTACCTATGCAAATAGTTGTCCCGCGGGATTTGAACGCACGACATTCGATGCCGCAGTCTATCGCTTAGCTGCGCCATGTGTTATCTTTATATCTGTCTCATCTGTTAAAGCGTCGAATAGCGCTTATCTGTCATTAACTTCGCAATTGAAGGTATTCAAGTCTGGTTAAATTTTACTTTTATTTTATTTAATATCTGAGTGTGGCCATTAGTCTCGTTTCTATTAAATTAAATTAAATGAACAAAATAAACTAATCCGCGAAAGACATTGATAGTTACATTTAATAATTTGTAAAGGTGTCAAATATTTGAGAGAAGGGAACGAATGAATGGAATTAAATTCCTCAGAAGTTCGGGTTAACTCTTATAAAAAACTAATATAAACTAATATATAGTTATTACCAGTTAAAATCGGAATAGTGAAAGCGTAATTCATCCGATTCTATTAATAATATAATAAAATTCCACAAACGGTGTTTATAATAAAAATAATAATATAATACTGTCGTAAAATAAGTAAAGTATTTTTACGTGATATGTAGGCTTGCTTCGTTCTTATCTTTAATAATGATGATGAAATGATGATGATCAATAGAAAAAAACATTTAAATTTTTAACTCTTATTTTTCCACTTCAAATACTGATACGACGGCATCTGATTTCGTACGCATTAAGTTAGTTATCTAATAGGGCATGAAAAAAAAATCATATAAACAGGCGGCTCTCCCGACAATGGAGGGTAATGAATAATCATTCAAAACATTATATGTATATGTATGTATGGCTCGCCCGTCTAGACGTCGAGCTATTGATTTCAATGCGGTTGCATTTGCTTGTTGTAATAACATGCGTCCATTGTTTTGTAGAGCTGTTTATTATATTTTTAAATGCCGACTGGTTATTTTTAATTTCCTGGTACTAACCTCTATAGAATCCCGAAAAACTTATTTAGAAATAGGTTTGGCGAATGTTTCGAATGATTAAACACTTTGAGAGTAAGCAACTTAACACTAATGATATTTTATTTTTATTCACAATTCTACGTACTTATTTCGGCCTTACTGTAAGGCAAAATTGTCTTCTGTTACTATTATATGGACGTCTCACACATTGGGAAACACACACAAACCAAGAAAAACCTTGTCCCGTGTGGGAATAGAACTCTGTACGCCAGCGCTAAGCCATTATAGCTTGGCGAAAAATGCGCTTCAATCGTAAAAATTCTCTAAAATAGACATTGGCAAGATATAAAATTATAAATAAATAACAATAATAATGTTTCTGCACACATATTTACACAACCTCATCTAGTCTCAAACTAAGCAAAGCTTCTTCTAAAGGTACTAGGTAATCGATGAACATTTGTATATTATGAAAAACACTCAAACACTGGAAAAACATTTTGCAAAACGTTGTTCATCACACAATATTTGCCATAATCGGGATAGAACCCACACACTGGGTAAGAAAGGTAAATTATCAATGTCAATACTGTCGTCAATTTTTTAAGTTGTTTATTTTTGTTCTATTAAGGACAAAACGTCCAATGTAACGGGTAACCCCAAAGTGGCGGAGGGGCCTACACTAATATAGTGCACTGCACTAATTTAGGATTCGCACTGTAACTGAATCCTGATAAGAATTGGCTCGCGCCCATC